AAGAAAAGGGACAAGAAGAGAGGGACACAACCTAGAACAGATAATGGATGTCTATTCTATTAACATTTCTCTATCTGGAGAATGGGGCTGTTTGATGTGTTGGTTTCTCTATTCAGAGGGCCCCCTGCCTGTCTTTGCCTAGGGCCCCACATTTCCTAAATCCGCCCTGCACAGCTCTTCAATATTTACATCATAGGAGTCGTTCAAATTCAATATGCATCTAATAACCAGATAAAATAGAGCATAAAGCATGAAAACAATATATATCACACTCATTAGAGATGCTTATTATTTATAAACTAAATCCATCCTTCTATCTTTGTGCAGAAAGTCTTAGTATCTCCATTTAGTTTCGGCCATTGAGGCCAGGGAAACTTTGTTGCTAACTTAATTTGGCCGTAAACATTTTGCTCTAACTGACCAATCAGAGGAAAGAAAATTCCTCCAGCTGGCCCCGTGGGGCAGATCTGAAACCTGATTGGTTAAAGAAAATGTTCTTCACTAATATTGTTAAGGAAACATCAGCAGCACTGCTGGTTCTGAAGGCCCTGGGCAGATTTGATTCACATAGCAACACACTGAGGCTGAAATCTGATTGGACAAAAAATAAAGCAACCAGATAAATCAAATGCACTGGAAAAAATCAAAATCTAGATAAGTAATTTTTTTCTCAAAATAAGTGCATTTGTTCTCAAATTGAGAAGGTAAAACAGACATTTTGCCAATTGAACAAGACAATTTATATTTAAATAAGGAAACACAATTGCATTTTTCTTATTTCAAGTGCATTTTATCTAAATATCTTATTTTAAGAGTAAAAATACTCATTCCATTGGCAAATCATCTCATTAACCTGCTCAAATTAAGTGTAAATGCACTCAATTTGAGAAATATTTACTTATTTCTAGATCGTTTTTCCAGTGTGGAGGCAGCGCAGACAACAGAAACGCTACAAAATGAAGAGAACTGATTGTTTGGAATAAATTAATACAATTAGATAGAAGAAATTTAAAGTATATGTTGTGATTGTAGGTTAGTGTTTCTGATAGATTTTAGGCCAGCAGTAAAGGCTTTGATGGCCCTGACCGCCCACCACTGCCCTATACATGACACAATACTTTAATTCAGACTTTTTAATGTGAAGCTTGCTTTATATTTGCTTTTTTAACATTTATGCCTCCCTGGTGTTGGAATAACTGGTGACTCAGCAGATTTCCTGCCTGGTATTTGGTGTGATAGAGTTTGCTTTTGTAGCATTGTCCTAACCAAGGAAAAATCAACATCTAGATCAGTAATTTTTTCTTAAAATAATTTCATTTGTTCTTGGAGTAAGGAGGTAAAAGCGACATTTTACCAATGGACCAAGATAATTAACATTTAAAATAAGAAAACACAATTCCATTGTCTTATTTCAAGTGCATTTTATCTAAATATCTTATTTTACGAGTAAAAATACTCATTCCATTGTAGGGGTGGGTATTGCCAAAGACGTCATGATGCGATTCTATCACGATGCATCACGATACTTGAATTATTGCGATGCATTGCAATATTTTCTCCTCCATGTTTTGTTTTTGAATGACTCGGCGCAGTATCCCACGGCCGGAAATGCTTGTGACACAAGGCAGCGTGCTTCAACAAATCCGCAGCGACATCTACTGGACTGGAAGTTGTATTACACTTGTTTTTGGCTGATGTTCGCCAACCATTCATGCAATTTTATTTATTATTTTTTTTAAATTAATAATCGATACTTGGTGTCAAGAATCAATGCAGTAGATCACGAAAATTAGAATCACGATGCATCATCATGACGATTATTTTGTACACCCCTATTCCATTGACAAATCGTCTCATTTACCTACTCAAATTAAGGGTAAATACACTTAATTTGAAAAAATTAATATATTTTTAGATTGTTTTTCCAGTGTATGTTGGTTCCAGACCAACCTTTGCCCCACGGTCAGGGATGTTAGAGTGGCCTCTGTCACGGATCATAATAAGAGGGCCTTCGGCCCCTAAGGCTGGGAAGGATTACTCATTTTAATAGCCTGCCGAGGTGGTGGGGGGGGGTTTATCTTCCATTCCCAAAAAACTTTATTGTTAAATCTAGCACGTCTTTATATTCAGGTAGATCGATTTTCACAGAAGTAATATTAAATACCACAATAAAAAAAAACACACATTTACATTGATTGTAACACAGCTGTAGTTTTTTTTTCCATTTTGATCCTAATGTCATGTTTTCTGTCTCCTCTTAGTGCCTCCAGCTCCTGTTTTACAGCTTGAAGCCCTTAACTGCACCTCTCTGAGGGCCCGCTGGCAGACCCCCCCAGACTCTGTGGCTGTGCTGGGTTTCCGGCTGTGCTACCATGAGGAAGGCCAACCAGAGCAGCCAAGCATCCTGCTGCAGGCCCACACCTACGCCTACACCATCGGAGGCCTTGGTATGTAGTGAGATGGGTTGGATTTCACAGCTTTTTGCAGATCTTTGTCGTTATGACGGAGGGTGACTGATGTTCCCTCTCAGATTTTATTTTTATTTTTTTTGCATGACCTCATTTGATTCCCTGGGCAGTCAGATGCTGCATTTGCATTTCCAGCCTCTGTTCTAATCAATATGGACTGACCGCTCCTGTCTAACCAGTAGCCTTTCTCCAGCCTTGCCTTAGTGTTGTGTGAAAGCAGGCTGTGGGGGTTAGAGGTCAGTAACCAGATGTCCCCCCCCCCACTCCCATCCAAAGTCCTGCTTAATTATGCAAAGCCATTGTGTTCTGTCCTGGACCAGATCGTCTCTGTGAGGACCTGGGCCGCCTCCTTTCAGCTGGACTTTAGTGAACACAGACAAAGAGCTCTGGGAGGGGGCCAGGCTGGACCCATCATCTGACCTTTAGCCATGAGACAGCAGCCTTGGATTTAAACTTCCTGCCCCCACTGGTCATCTGTGCTGTTCATGCAAATAACCAGCAGTTTTAACGAGAAACATACTGAAAACAAAACTAATAGTTTTCCCTAAATCAGAGTTTAGATTTTTTCCATTTATACCAAATCAGTTTTGTGTTTCCTTACAAACTCAAACAGGAGAAAGTTCCAGTTGATTTTTCTGCCAGTAATCATCCTCCTTTCTCTTGTTTTTATTTATGTTTTTTAATAAATATTCGTATAAAGTTCTTCTGTTCTGTTGCGCTAAGTTTAAGGCTACAATACAAGTCCAGTGGTGGTGGGGGGGGGCCGAGCGATTGAGAAAGAGGGGAAACAAAAAGGGGGCCATCTCCGCTCCCACAACCCCGCACCCAGATTCCTTCTGTTCTGTGTTGGCCTGGCTGGGTGACCCCAGTAACCCCCCCCCCCCTATTCCTTAGAGTCCCATGGGCTTTGGATCCCAGCAGCTGAACATCGCCCGTGCCCCCCCCTGGACACACTGCTGTCATTGGTCAATACCTTAAGGCTGACCTTTCACACTGGAGGCATAAAACAAACCTAACATTCTTTAAAGCGTCCAGATTGGAGACCAGGGGGGGGGGCGATGGCTTTTCAGGTTGAAACACATTTTTTATTGTGCTTATCATTGGTAACCATGCCTCCTCTACCTCTCTGTATCTCATATAGTTTATATTTGTAGGTATTGATCTAACGATTACTTTGCAAATCGATTAATCTGTTGATTATTTTTTTCAATTAATAGATTAATAATCGGACGGCCATTTTTTACAAAATGAAACCGAAACGTTTCCACCTGAGGAGTTCTGCATAGAGCATATTAACAGAGGAAGAAGTTTTTATCTTAAATGCAAAATATTTATATACATTTTTTTTACAGTTTTGGTATAATTACTGCTCCAAGTTGGTCACTCTTTCAGCTAAAGGCGTGTTTTACAGTCTCCATGTTCCAGTTAATGATTAATCAATGATTAAATTAGTAGAGAATTATTTAGATAATCGATTAATCGGATTAATTGTTTCAGCTCTAACTGATCTGTTGTTGTTCCTCTTTAAGTTTCTGAATCTGGAGGTAAAGAAAAGCTGAAATTCCAGGCCTGTGATTGTCCGTGGTGGAGCTTCCAGCTCCCTGATCTTTCTCCTCCTCTTTCCAAAGAAATGCACATGACAAACCAGAGGAGACGAACAAAGGAGACCATGCATTGTCCAAACATGGCCCCTTAATGACCTGCTAAATCACGTCGCCTCTCACTCCTTCAGCCTCGTCTTTTATAAATCGCCCTTCTCTGTTTTCTAATAATGGGTCTCCTAACCTTCGTCTATGTTGGGTTTTTACAATTTTGCACCATTTGCGTTTCATTGGCAATGCTGGGTCTTTACACTGAGAGAAATTGCTTTCTTTATTGAAGTTGTTGTCGGTTATATTCTAGATCCAAGGAGAAAATACCATGTGAAGATTCTGGCGATCAGCAAAGTTGGCGATGGTTATCAGACAGACCAAACCCTCAGCACTCCAGGATGTGTGTGTGAGTATATATATAATCAGGTGACACCTGTCTGTTCATCTGTTGTTTTTTTTTTAAATGTACTTTCTGCTTGAATCATTTAGCGGCCAGAGACCAGCTGGCGGTGGCTCCTCCCCCTCCGCATCAGGTCACCGTCTTAATCAGCAATTCCTCTGCCGTGTCCCTTCGTTGGAGCCGCCCTGCTTTTTCCTCTGGAAAGCCAGTGAGCTACACGGTCCGCTGTACACCTGTGGGCACGCACAACGTCTCCGCTATACGCTACATACAAACGTAAGCCCTCCAGGAAGCCGGTGCTTCTTCTTCTTGAAATGTTCTCTGTCATTCGCTAAATGCGGTTGCCTGATGTTTTCTTCACAGCACCAAGCAGAGTGTTATGGTTCGAGATCTGCATCCAAACACTCAGTATGAGTTTGTTGTTCGTCTCCATGTGGACGAGATGTCCAGCTCATGGAGTTCTGTGGTTTATCATCAGACTGCACCAGCAGGTAATCCATTAGACCTGCGTAGCATCATTTCATCATGATGATGTGGCTTTAATAGGTTTAATTAATATTCCCATCAATGCTCTGTATGCAGCGCCTAGCCACCCACCAGCAGGAGTTCGAGTGACTCTGATTGAGGATGACACAGCTCTGGTGTCCTGGAGGGAGCCCAGCGAGCCTCATTTGGTGGTTACACACTACACCATACTGTACGCCTCACAGCAAGCCTGGATGGCCGGACACTGGCAGCGGATCCAGAGAGAAGGTCAGATCGGTTTTTATACGGTTAAATGTTAACTCTGGACAAAACAAGTCATTTCTGGGGGTTTTTGGCACTTTTCTTGTAAAAATAAAACGATTCTGCAAAGAAATCTTAAAAAAAAAAAAAAAGAATTACCCTCTGCAGTTATTAATTTCCATCCATCGATTTTCCGTCACGCTTTATCCCTGGGGTGGCGATAGGTGCTGGTGCCTAACTCCAGCTGTCTACGGGTGAGAGGTGGGGTCCATCCTGGACAGGTCGCCAGTCCATCGCAGTAAATGCAGAAACAAACAACCATTCACTCACACTCACACCTAAGGAGAATTTAGAGAGGCCAATTAACCTGACAGTCATGTTTTTGGACAGAGTACCCGGGGAGAACCTACGCATAATCAGGGAGAACATGCAAACTCCATGCAGAAAGACCCCGGGCCGGAACCTTCTTTCTGAACCTCTACAGTCATTAATTTAATATTTGGTGTCATAATGATCCGTTTCCATAACAATCCCTCCAATTAAACCACCGGCAAATTTTTTTTGTTTTAAATATTTTTAAACTTTTTTTTAGTTTCGTCAAAATCCTTTAAACTCCTTTGCAATAATCCCTGACTCTCTGTAACCATTTTGATAAAGCTTCTAGTTAGAGTGGCTCAGGTTATTCTGAGCTAT